CAAAATGTGTACACGTGTAAACCGTTTGCATGTTGTATTCATTATTTTTACTTGTATATACATTTCTTATGAAAATTTTTAAATATTAGTCAGTATTTATCGAATCATGAAATTTATTATCAAAGGCGAAGTCATTAACCTGTATCAATTTCAGGAAGAAGGAAGAGGGGGTGGAGTGGCTTCCAAAATAAATAGTTTAGCTTAATTTCGAAACACATGTACATGTACCGTCCATTTCTTCCTTTCAATTTATATGACTTTTATTACTGAAATATTGTAAAAACTAAAATTGATTTCTTATAAGAAACATGTCTCCTACATGACACTGTAAACCCATGCATGTTTCAGTCAGTGCAAGCATTTATTAATCTATAATTTGTGTTATTCTGTACTTTGACGTGCTACAATTTATACATGATAGTACGCATTGGGCAATGTTTATGTTTTTGCGCCTGCGCAATGCAACGTTGTCAAGGACTTAGTCCTGTGACTAAGCGTATCGTTTACGACTAGACTTACGCCACTTGGTGAAACGCAAGTTACGCCCGACTAAATTTTGGCGTAAGCCCCGGAAGTACGCCTAAGTTAAGGCTTAACTTTACGACCTTTGATGAAACAGCCCCTGGTCTCCAAAAACCACATAGATATTGTCAATCAGAAATTCAAGAATCTCTTTGATGTCAACTCCACAGTACTTGTGTGTGCAATCAGAATGTGTTTTAACAAAATAATTTTGTAAATGACTAATTACCAGGTAAGTAAATTTTCGAGTTCCATTTTTATTGAAAAAGCAGCTGTCAATGATATCAAAAAGCCTGGACTTTAATTTATCATGGGGAATGGTTGTGTATAAAGTTCAAAAGTGGTAAGTTTTAAGCTGTTGATTTCGGTAAAATCTTGTGATTTCAAATTGTCTACAAGTTGTTTGGAATTTTTGAGTATCCACTAGCTGCAGATCTGTAGCTCTCCGAAAAAATATATATTGATAGACCCGAGAGCTACAGTGCCACCCATTGAAAAAACTGTATATTTATTGCGCACAAAAAAGTGCGCTCGATTCTTGATTAATTTTTCCAAATTCTTACCTCAATTGCAAAAAATGGAAGATTTTAAAAAATTACTCTCTCCTCTATCAAGTTCTCTCGTAGTTGACATCTGAACGAAGCATACTGGACCGAATTATCTTTGAAACCAATTATGGCTGTATAAATAAGCGAAATGTCCGATGATTGCAATATCAGGTCCAGGAGGACTATTAACAACAATTATGAGGAATGTTTTGTTGTGGAAAGAGTCAAACAATATGTTAGGAACACACGGTTGGTAATATTTTGAGATTACAGCTTTAAAAACATGGAGAAATAAATCGAGAACCGAGCGCAGTTTTTTGTGCGCAATAAATATACAGTTTTTTCAATGGGTGGCTCTGTAGCTCTCCGGTCTATCAAATTTTTTTTTTCGGAGAGCTACAGATCTTCAGCTAAGTATCCACATCTGATTCACACCACTTCTTGAATATATTGTTGCACAGTACTATTGAAGTTTTTCCTTCACTACTGTCAATATCTTAGTGATGAGTAACGAAAGAGGCTTGGTTGAACATTTACTGGAACCCGCAATGTATCTTTGTTTGTAAGGATTTTTATAAAGTTTTGGAATCCAATATATAATAGGGTAGTTCAAATTCATTTTGGCTCTGTGGAATATTAAAAATATTTAAAAAAGACATAATTATGATTTTGAAGAATTTCTTCCTTTGAAAGGGTAGCTGACGTTTTTAAATTCTGCTTCATATGAATACAAAAAATAGGTTTGCTAATAATGTGGTGCAATTGGTACCCATGGGAAATCCAAAAAATTGTTGCAAGACCTAAACTTCAAAAACTACAAAGAAGTCAATTAAAAACTTAGCATCATTTTTGTGTCGCCTGCAGAGCAGAGCAGCACTAAGGGATCAGTTTACCCGGTGTCTGTCTGTCACACACTATATCTCAAGAAGTCTAAGAGATATGGACTTGATATTTTGCACATATATTTCTTAGCACCATGGCTTCTGCATTTTACCATAAAACAAGAGATGTTTGTAAAACACTTATGCCCCCCTCCCCCCAAATTGGAATTTTTCCAAGTCCAAGGGGCATAACTCTGTCAAAAACGGCGCGATAATACCCAAAACACAACTTACCCTAGATATTCATCTGATAAATCTGTATACCAAATTTCATTTCAGTATGTACAACGATTGCAAAGAAAATGAAAGGAAACGGAAAATAATTAGAATTTTTCTACCAAGGGGCATAACTCTGTCAAAAATTAAGCGATTGTACCCAAAACAGAACTCGACCTAGATATTTATTTGATATATCTGTATACCGAATTTCATTTCAGTATGTACAACGGTTGCAAAGAAAATGAACGGAAACGGCAAATAATTCAATTTTTTCTTAAGTCCAAGGGGCATAACTCTGTCAAAGATGGTGCGATCATACCCAAAACAGAACTCGACCTAGATATTTATTTGATATATCTGTATACCAAATTTCATTTCAATATGTACAACGGTTGCAACGAAAATGAACGGAAACGGAAAATAATTGAATTTTTTCCAAGTCCAAGGGGCATAACTCTGTCAAAAATGGTGTGAACGTACCCAAAACAGAACTCAACCTAGATATTCATGTGATATATCTGTATACCAAATTTCATTTCAGTATGTACTATGGTTGCAAAGAAAATGAACGGAAACAGCAAATAATTGAATTTTTTCTAAGTCCAAGGGGCATAACTCTGTCAAAAATAGTGCAACCATACCCAAAACAGAACTCGATCTAGATATTCATGTGATATATCTGTATACCAAATTTCATTTCAGTATGTGCAACGGTTGCGAAGAAAATGAACGGAAACTAAGTGGACCGACAGACCGACGGACCGACAGACAGCAGCAAAGCAATATGCCCTCCCTTCTTCGAAGGGGGCATAAAAACACTAGTCTTGATGTAGCCTGTAGGTAGGAAACGTCAGTTGTATGGGGGCAAATGTGCTACTGAATACAATACAAGATCGATCATTGTGGAATTTCTTAAAGCAAATAAGAAACCAGAAGTCTCTGTCAAGACTGAAGCTCTACTGGTTTGTTCTTATAGCAAAGGAAGAGAAAAGTACTTATAATAAGCAGTCGGGAATTGAAACTTGACAACAGCAATAAATAGAATAATGATCCTTGATAAAGTCTCTTTATGTTCTTAGTGTAGTCTACTTGTGTGCCAAGTTATATTGAAATCAGTCCAAAACTGTAGGAGGAGTAGCATTTTGAAACAATTTTACAGAAATTTCTATTTTTAATAACCACGGCAACACCGTTCATCAAAATTAAAAAACCGCTAAACAGAATTATGTATATTAGTGTAGTCTACTTGTGTGCCAAGTTATACTGAAATCAGATCAAAACTGTAGGAGGAGTAGCATTTTGAAACAATTTTATAGAAATTTCTATTTATAGTTACCACGACAACATTGTTCATTGAAATCAAAAACCAATAAACAGAATTATGTATCTTAGTGTAGTCTACTTGTGTGCCAAGTTATATTGAAATCAGACCAAAACTGTAGGAGGAGTAGCATTTTGAAACAATTTTACAGAAATTTCTATTTTTAGTAACCACGGCAACACCGTTCATTGGAATTAAAAACCGATATACAGAATTATGTATCTTAGTGTAGTCTACTTGTGTGCCAAGTTATACTGAAATCAGACAAAAACTGTAGGAGGAGTAGCATTTTGAAATAATTTAACAGAAATTTCTATTTTTAGTAACCACAGCAACACCGTTCATCGAAATAAAAAACTGATATACAGAATTATGTATCTTAGTGTAGTCTACTTGTGTGCCAAAATATATTGAAATCAGACCAAAACTGTAGGAGGAGTAGCATTTTGAAAGAATTTCACAGAAATTTCTATTTTTAGTAACCATGGCAACACCGTTTATCGAAATCAAAAACCGATAAACAGAATTATGTATCTTAGTGTAGTCTACTTGTGTGCTAAGTTAAATTGAAATCAGACAAAAACTGTGGGAGGAGTAGCATTTTGAAAAATTGTTTACAGACAGACGGACAGACGGACGGACGCCGGACGCATTACTATCGCATAAGCTTTTCTGGTCTCTGACCAGTAGAGCTAAAAATCCTGGAGGAGTAACTTGCTGAACCACAGATCCAGCCTTATAAATCTTTGAGAGGAGCTAATGATTAAATGCTCCAGTGGTTACGATATTTTTAACTAAGGGGATTCTTCACAATAAATTCTAATTGAAAATCTTTACTTTTTAAAGCTAATAAAATACTCTAATCTTCTTCTTGGAGTTCAATTCTTGACAAAACATTGCACTTTGGGCATAATGATTGTTCGAATCATTTGATTGTTACTACTGTGAACAATATCAAGCCCCAGAAATCTTGCGAGATTTAGAGCTTCCTTCACTCCCCCACATAAGAGTGGTGGTAAGTTACATAACTGCCAGGTACTCACAGTATTGATATTATTAACAGTGACTTTCATTGTCCCGTTTTTGCGACAAGATCAATATTTCATGAAAAACAACAATCAATCTGGTATTTTTAGAGGTACATGTACTTGTTTGCTCTGCTCCTGATTTGTATACTGTATAAGTGGAAATTTTAGCGAGATGCAAATTTAGCAATTTGTCTTTAAAACAGGTTATTTTATTTTTAGTGAGATGTAATTTTAGCAATTTGAAAATGCTCACTAATACAGCTATTGCAAACTAAAGACAGTTTATTTTTAACGATATTTAATTTTAACGATCTCCGAACCTTCGCTTAAAATGCCAAAATTAAATCCTCACTAAAAATTCTACTTATACAGTGATTTACATTAACTTTTGGGCATGATTACTATTTGTTATCTTCATATTTCATGTCAGTAAATTATGTAACACCCTGCAAACTGGAATAAAAGCAAAAACCACTTGAAATCCATTTTTCAATTTTTTTTAATTTTCAATATATGGATATCTATCTGATTGTGACAACTGAAATAAATATCATCCATAAAGCCATCCTTATGACAGATACAATACAGTAAAAGCTCTAACATTTCATGACATGAGTTATATGAAGAAGAAAAACTCTTGATTTTTTTCAATATTAAATTAACAGGCATCCCTACCAACTTTTTTTATTGACATATAGAATATTAAATTAATATTTATTGCTTTATGTCATTCACCTACACAATGAATGAATACAGAATTCAATAATGGAATTTTAAACACTTAGTGTACAAAATTAAGGTTAATGAAATAAATACATTTAAATACAAAAACGTTTTACAGGGAGTCAATGTTCAACTAACAAAGAGATAACAAGAAAATGCCAAACACTACAACAATTCATAAAACGTCAATTAAACACAACTCTACATAAAAGGAAATGAATTCAGTGAGCATAGTTATTTAAAAGCTTTTTTTTGGATTTGGCTACAGTACAAAAAAAGGAAAGGAAAAAAAAACCAAGAGGTCCAAGGCTATTAACTGTCACTTGAGTATAATACAACCCTGTAATTATAAAGAATTCATAGATTGTAAACAATTACATGATAACACACAAAAAAGTGAAACTTAAAAAAGCAAGGAAAAGGTTCTGGGATCAACAAAATATTTTGTCTGGTAATCATGGTAATCACCAAAAAGTCAGAAAGGCTGGTACAAGACAGTGCTATTTACACTCGTTTAACTATCATCTAACAGTGCTTTAGCATAAAACACTACATTCACAAAGTATACTTGGCATATTTCCCATGCCATAATGACCTCTCTTCAAAAATATTTTATAATAAATGTATGATATATAAGGGGACCACAATTTTCAGTATTTGCTCCTCCTCACCTATGAATGCTATATGCCAAACTTGGTTGAAATTTGTTTAGCATTTTTAGAGAATATGAAAATACTAAATTGTTAATAGACAGTGAAAAATGATGGACGTTATCAGATAGCAATAGATCACCTGAATGATTCAAGTAACCTTAAAAGTTAAGTGAAATTGGCAGATACGTGTACTGGTAATGCAAGAAAATGAGAGTTTTTCATAGTAACCAGAATGCTGAATTATTGCTTTACTTAGATGTTTATAATCTCTTATAATGAATATTTCAAAGCCTAAAAAAAAGGAATTTAATTAGATTTAACACAAAAAATGAGGCAAAGTAATAAAATTTCATTCAATATAATGTTCTAATTCTAATATGGTTTCTCCTCTTAAAGAAAATCCATCTTAAACCTGAAGCAGAAATTAAAATAAAAGTCAACAGTTTAGCTGTTACTTTTTCACTTAGCATACTGCAAAAGTTTTTCTGATAAAGAAATTATTAAATCTAATAAAGAGAATCCTATCAGCAAAAAAAGAAAAAAAAAAAACAATCCTTAATTGTTCTCAACCTGAAAGAAGCAACAAAACAGTATCAATAACCATTTCTCCATTACGCACAGGAAAATACTAATCCTCCGGTTTTTCATCACCAACTCCATCCTGTATGACATCGGAGTCTTCTCCTTGTTTGAGGCGATTTGATTTTTCCACTCTTAGCTTGCGGCCACGAATTTCCAGGTTTTGCAAGGCATCTAATGCTGCCTCCATTTCCTGCATTTCTTGGAACTGAAGTAAGGAGTAGCCCTTAGCTCCATTCCAGATGACACGGATAGGGTTGACATCCTTTCCACGGATTTCTCCTTTCAATTCACTTACCCTGACTGATCTCTGGATACTTCCTACAAACAATGTGGGGATTGGAGCTCGAGTTCTTGGACCTCGACGACGCCTTGGACGATAATCATCATGCTCCTCATCATCTGCAGTATTTTCAGACTCTTCTCTTCTCCTTGGACGGCGTCTTCTCATATTGCGTCGCCTGGGTGGGCCACGGCGACCCTCACCCTCACTTTCACCTTCTTCGTGCTCTTGCTCGTGGTCGTCATCATGGGACTCTTCATTATTGTCTCCATCATCCTGTCGGCGGGACCCTCCCCTACGTCTACGGTACCGACGATTTCTCCTGAATCTAATTTAAATAAGAACAAGATGTGTTTGTAAATCACTATGCACCCGGCGGCAACAAAGTTAAAAAAACATATATTTAGCATATAGGTCACAGTCAAGGTCACAAGGTCATTGATCTTGGTGTCATTTGAAAGAACTTGAGTAGTGAAGTATGCATACCAAATAAGAAATCTCTCTCTCTCATGGTTCAATAGTTATGGTGAAGGTTCTAAAAAACTATTTTTAGCATATAGGACACAGTCAAGGTCATAAGGTCATTGACCTTGGTGTCATGTGAAAGGGTTTAATTAGTGGAGAATACATGCCAAATATTAAGTCTCTATCTCTCTTCGTTCAAAAGTTACGGCAAAAGTTAAAGTTTGCCAACAAAAAAGCTATATTTAGCATATAGGTCACAGTCAAGGTCACAAGGACATTGACCATGGTGTCATTTAAAAGAGCTTAATCAGTGGAGTATGCATACCAAATATGAAGTCTCAAACATTCAAATTTCAAAAGTTATGGCAAAGGTTGAAGTTTGCAGACAAACAGACAGATGGACAGACAGAAAGGACAAAAACAATATACGCCTCGGATCTTTCGATCCGGGCGCATAAAAATTAGTCATAAGATTTCTCCAGTGGAAGTAAAAAGTATGTATTACAGTATACATTTTACAGAATGAAACCAAAAGTCTCAATCAAGATTTTAGTTCTACTTGTTGGGCTAGGTATTGGCTGCAAATTTTGTACTGCAATATGTTGTAATATTTTTACCTGTATTTTGATATGAGCATAAACCTAATTAACCCTTGGTATATGGTGCTGTGAAAAGATGCGATTGTTTTCATCATGTGATCTCGAATTTGAACAGGTATGCACAAATTGCCTCATCAACATAAATAAACAAGAAGTCTGTACGCTAATGCTCACTAGTAATACCCCTGGTCTGATGTGAATAAACACTATTATGTTACTAAACACAAGTTCATTTATGGACAGACATACGAATAAAGAGGAAGTTGACATCGGATTTAAACACCAAGAGGCCCCTGGGCCACATCGCTCACCTACGTAACTTTGGCCATGCTGTTCTTTACCAGATTTCCCCCTTGTATTATTATTGTACTATTGTATTACAGTATAAATCTTGTATTATTTATTGTGACCTACCCCCAGGGGTCCTGATTTTAACAATTTAGATCTACACTACCCTAGGATGCTTCCACATAAATATAAGCTTTTCAGGCCCAGTGGTTCTTGAAAAGAGGATTAAAAAAAATTCTAATATATTTCAAATTTTAAACTTGGATTCCCTATTGTGGCCCCATCCTACCCCTGGGGATCATGATTTTAACAATTTAAAATCTATACTATCCCAGGATGCTTCCAAATAAGTTTAAGGTTTTCTGTTTTTCATTATTTAAACTCCCCGACAGACAAACAGATGGACAGAGAGACAGATGGATGGACAATGGGTGATCAGAAAAGCTCACTTGAACTTTCAGCTCAGGTGAGCTAAAAATGAATCCCATAATATGCCATGCCTCAGCAAAGAGTGTGCAGCACAGATAAACAGGAAGATGACATAGGATTTTAACAAAAATTAACATATGCAGAGTTCTTGAAATCTTTTTTCCACTGTCAGTCATTTGGACTGACTGCCACAGGAAGTTTGTCGGTCCAGACAGATTTTTATCAGTCCAACAAAATAATTAAACATAATTTTAAGAAGATGAAAACTGTATTTGAATTTTATTATCATTACATTTCGCACCCTCCGTCATATACACACTGCATACTTCATGCGAATTTGATCATCGTATTACAAATTTCGTTGAATTCTCCTAGGAGGTAAATTTTCTTCATAAGTTTTTGATCTAGTTCGATTTTTCTCACCTGGCTAATACCTTATCGCCGTCAAAAACTTGTTAAAACAATTAATCAATCATAGTTTGGTACTTGCGTTCATTGAAGAAGCCATTACGAGATACTGAAAAGCGTTTAACAGATTATGATCGGTCGGTTATAGAGAATTAGTACAAAATTTAGTCGGATTTTTGCAAGTTGCCTTCTCGTCACCTACCGGCCATTTGGACTGACACAGAACGTAAAGTGATCGGTCCTTGGTTGTTTTTATCGGTCTTGCCGACAGGACAGAAAGATTTCAAGAACTCTGATATGGCATGTCTCAGCAAAGGAAGTGTTAAAATTTCAAGCATCTACTATGAGTAGTTGCTGAGAAAACTGTGATGAAAATTTGTTATGTATGGTACGGACAGATGCACCGATAAACAGGAAGTTGACATTGGATTTGAATCCTACCATATGGCATGCCTTAGCAAAGAATGTGCTAAAATTTCGAGCATTTTCGATGAGAAGTTGTTGAAAAAACTGCATCCAAAAATTTGTTACAGATTTACATACAGATGGACAGACACACAAGGGTAAAACAGTATAACCCCCTCTCCTTCAGAGGAAATATAATAACATATTTAAATCGTGTAAGTTTTTAAAGAATAACTAACAAGAAGGCATTGATTTTATTTAATTGCAAATCAACATCTTCAATATTTATTCTTAATCATATTTTGAATAGGCAGTCAAACCTGTATTAAGAGACCTTCCAACGGAGAAAGGAAAAAGGTCACATATGACAGGTGGTCTCTTAATACAGGTTGCTTATTTTCCGCAGTGTTCAAATATACGAGGGCCATTCAAAAATTACGCGGACTGAGCTATTATTTACTCTTACAGATGTCATATAGTTATGAAATTTCACAGAAAAATTCTACTTAAATTATTGGTATGTTGATATCGCTGATGGAGAGATACGGAGCACGACAAAAAATTGCAGCAAAAGCATGCATAATCGAAAATTTAACTCATTAATTTTCTATAATTCGCGATATTTTTCGACAATTTTCTCAAATGTATCTTTAAATTGTTCTGTTATTATGTACTTAGATTTCTGAAGTGATATTTGAAATACTAACAGAAATATAGTGATTTTTTTTTCTGATGCGATTCCCGTGAAAATAACTGTGAAAATGACGTTTCCTGAATTGACAGCGCACCACACTTTTGTTAAATTATGTGTAATGCTCGAGATATCGCCAACATAGATCCAAAATATGCATAACAAAACATGTAGTAAACTAGGGTATTCGTGACATCCGTCCATAAATAGCAAATTCAAATTTTAGACCGTTAGACCTCTGTAAAAAAGGCTATACGGGAGGACGGGAAGAAGATTATCGACGAAAACTTTATCCGGACTGTAAAGAACGTGATTGAGTCAGAGTCACCAATATCATACTATATCTCATAAATACCTGCAGTTTTTGGTTTTAAAACAAAAAAGAATATTCTTTACTTGTTTAATAGATGTTAAGCTTGACAAAAAATGGTGTTTTGATGTTGAGTAGATAAGGTAACTCAAACTGTAAAGGTACTCTTGGGAAAATGTTGAGAAAATGAAAGCTCAATTACATATTTTTTTATAATGCCTGTGACGCCGAAGATTTTGCTGCTCCGTGACTTAACGATATGTCCTGAAAAATCACTTAAAGGTACTTGGACACAGATTTGAAGTTATTATTTTCTCTATAATATTATGACTTATATATTTTAATAGCATTTCACACAAAATTTAATTAAAATTCTTATTTCGTTTAAAAGATATTGAAATTTCAAATTTTTCAGCGGGTTTGATTGACATATCCTTGCACTCTCACAAATTTAATTTTATTCTTAATCCTTAGGAAAAGTGGCAATCTCGTTTTGTATAAATGAAAAATATTAATACTATAATCCAGAAAATTCAGAGTAGACACGTTCGAAAGCAAAACAAACACACAATATATTGTCAGTCCGTGCAGTTGTGGTAAGCAGACTGTGACGATTGAACGCACCCGGTGAATTCTAAATATAAACAATAACAGAACTCGAGCCCTGTTTACAAAAACTGTGTACATAACACGAGTGTTCTCGATTTGCTAAACTCTGTACGCATCTCTTAGTTCGGAATGACGATACTTGTGAAGGTGTTTTGCTTTCTAACATTTCTACTCTGAATAGAATTATTTTTCTTGATAAAAGTTTTAATATTTCTCATTAAAACACATCAAAATTGCCACTTTTCCTAAGGATTAAGAATAAAGTTAAAATTTGTGAAAGTGCAAGGATGTGTCAATCAAACCCGCCAAAAAATTTAAAGTTTTAATAACTTTTAAATGAAATAAGATTTTTAATTAATGTTTGTGTGAAATGCTATTAAAATATATAATTCGTGATATTATACTGTAACAGAAAAAATGAGAAAATATTAACTTCAAATCTGTGTCCAAGTACCTTTAAAATCGGTATCAATTTACAACATTTTGATATGAAATTTTGAAGACCATATACGTAAAGATTCTTTTATATTATGTGTGACATTTTGCCCGATTATGTCGTCAAATATTTTTTCTGTGCAACAAGTCCGCGTAATTTTTGAATGGCCCTCGTATAATGCTAAAAATATCACACGTGTATGTTGAATGTATTTTATAATACGTTTATTTCCATTCTTAAATAGGTACTACTCAACTCTAAAATGCTTTTACAACTGTCCTGTTAAGAAATAAAAATTTGCTTGATATGCATACGAGTCGTTTGAATATTGGGAAATATTGTGAACATCTGAAAATATTAATATTTTTTCATACAGTATAAAAAAAAGCTGCAAAGTTTTTTTTCTCATAATTTTTTTTTTTTTTTTTTTTTTTTTTTTTTTAAACATGTTAGCCTATATATAACTTCGTATGTTTTGCATATTACTAAGAATTAAAACTGTATCGTGATTTTTGTTTTGCACTTGGTATCAAATTAAATTATATTTATGACTTAAAATATTAATTTAACCTAATTATTTTTTTCCTTACTGAACTACCATGTCCAATATTGCCTGTTTGTGACCAGGTATTTCAATCACTCCAATTATCACATGCTGTGGGTACTAGCTAGCATATGTAAATGTTTACATACCCATTGGTGACACAATGCACTTAAATAAACATCTAGGATTTAGTTACTTGTTAATTTAAGTTAAACAGGCAGGTTTTATTGCTGAATATCTATTTGGCCCTTATAGCATGAAGTGATATCGGGATCGACCTCGAACGTCCATTTTTAAAATGGCGCTCGATCACTGGACAGAAAAAACCGTAATGTTTATGTTTTTTTTATGTTTATTCAATAAATATTAAAGTCTATGTAAAAATTTCATTTTTTTATGTTGTTTAACTCATAAAATTTGCATTTTATAATTATTTAATGAAATAAAGCGTGTTTGTATTTGTTTTGAACCCAAAACGTAGCATGCTCAACCCAAATCGAAAGCAGGAATCGGAAAGTATGTAGTCATAAAATTCGGGTAAAATTGCTTGAAATTACTAAAATGGTAAGGAATCACGGTCGTTGGTCACGGTAGACAGGTGGTCGTTTAATACAGGTGCAATATACAGGGAAAAGTGTTGGGGGGGGGGGAATTTTTACGGTCATATGTGACAGTGAGTCGCTTAATACACTCAGTGAGTCGCTATGGCAGTTTTGAATGTGCCGTATAACAGGTAATTTTTACTGCTGTAAATTTTAAAGAATTTTGGTTGAAATAGGCTGATTTAATTTTTTACGCGTTAAATTTTTACGAATTGAGCATATCCATAAAAAAATAAAATCATTGGAGGTGAAATTCTAGATCAACATTTTAGCATTTTGAATGCGTTAACACTGAAATACATGTGATGTTTCTAGACAACCCTATGTAAAAAATAAGTAACATCTTAATGTTATCGTAATAGGTAATAGGCACTTCCGTTGCGTTTACCTGAGGAAATTTCATCGATCTGACTGGAATGCCGTTTATTAAGGATAAATTGTGGGACCACATGTACCTGTGGTCTGAGGTGGAAACACGAGGCCAATGGGCCACATCGCTCACCTGAGAAGCTTTGACCATTCCGCTCTTTACCAGATTTCCCCCTTGTAATACATATTGTGACCCCACCCTATCCCACTGATCATAATTTAGACAATTTGAAATCTACACTACCCCAGGATACTTCCACGTAAGTTTCAGCATTTCTGACCCAGTGGTTCTTTAAAGATTTTTCCTGTATATTTCTATGTAAAACTTTGATTCCCTATTGTGGCCCCGCCCATCCCACGGGGGTCATGATTTGAACAATTTAGAATCTACACTACCCCAGGATGCTTCCACATAAGTTTCAGCTTTTCTGGCCCAGTGGTTCTTGAGAAGAAGATTTTTAAAGATTTTTTCTATATATTTCTATGTAAAACTTTGATTCCCCATTGTGGCCCCGCCCAACCCCCGGGGATCATGATTTGAACAATTTAGAATCTACACTACCCCAGAATGCTTACACATATGTTTCAGTTTTTCTGGCCCAGTGGTTCTTGAGAAGAAGATTTTCAAAGATTTTTCCAATATATTTCTATGTAAAACTTTGATTCCCCATTGTGGTCCCACCCTACCCCCCGGGGTCATGATTTTAACAATTTAGAATCCACACTACCCCAAAATGCTTCCACATAAGTTTCAGCTTTTCTGGCCCAGTGGTTCTTGAGAAGAAGATTTTTTAATGACCCCACCTTTTTTTTTTGTCTTTTCTTGATTATCTCCCCATGAGAGGACTTGGCCCTTCATTTTAACGTTAAAAATTTCCCTTCACCCAAGGATGCTTTGTACCAAGTTTGGTCAAAATTGGCCTGGTGGTTCTTGAGAAGAAGTTGAAAATGTGAAAAGTTTAGCTAGACAGACGGAGGGACGGACAAGGACAAAATGTGATCAGAAAAGCTCACTTAAGCCTTCGGCTCAGGTGAGCTAAAAACTCCCATTTTTCATTGGAAATTACAGTTTTAAAAAAGTTTATTCATCTTGTTTACCTACAAATTATGCCCGAAATACTTTATTTGATCAAGCTACAGTTATAAAGCATTATTGAAGGAATTTATTTCTGAAATTTGATATATCTGTACTACAGAATGAGATATATATAAAAATTCTTTGATTATGTTGTAATCATTGCAGAAAAAATCGTCATAAAATTCTTTGACTATGTTCATTTTGTAGGCACCTAACATTTACTAGATCTTGACCTTAAGCTTAACCTGTCCCATCTAGATAATCTACCTATGAACACAAAGTAATGTTCATTAACTTTTCTATCATTTGTGAGAAAGTGAGAAAGACCTTTTCAGTCCCCAATCTTGAATGTCGTTCAGAATGATGCAATAGTTTATCAATAAAAACCTGTTGTAATCCCTGCCACAAAATGAGTATTGGAATACACAGAGGTCACAGAGAGGTCAGAAAATAGGTCAATTTTCAAATTTTCTCATTTTTATACAAATTTTAATGGAATTTACAGCACATTTTGTTTTGGAAAACACAGAGCACAAGCTTGCCTATCTCCCATTTTTATATATTTTAAACACTAGTGTCAGATATACTTAATGTGTAAAACCCTCAGATAGGCAAGCTTGTGCTCTATGTTTTCCAAAGAGAAAAGTATCTCAAATATGATGAAATTCCACCAGTCGAGAATTAAGAAAATTTGGGGAAATGTCCTACTTCTGCACCCTCTTGTGACCTCCATGTAAGCTTTGAACCCAAATCAGTGCTGGTTTGAAAGCAAGCATCAATTTAATGAGGCCGAGTCTAATTATTTCTGCCCTAGGGATTTTGATAATTTTTTGATAATTAATTTTTACTGTTATAATTATTGTTTTAAAGATTTTTCCTATATATTCCTATGTAAAACTTGGGTCGGCCATTTTGGCCCCACCCTTGCCCAGGGGGTCATGATTTGAACAAACTTGAATCTACACTACCTGAGGAGCTTCCACATGAGTTTCATCGCCGACCATTAATTTTTAACAAATTCATGATTATCTCCCCTTAAATTCTGAACAAACTTTACCCCTTCACCCAAGGATACTTTGTGGCAAGTTTGGTTGAAATTGGCCCAGTGGTTCTTGAGAAGAAGTTAAGATTAAAAAATCGAATGTTTACCACCCCGATTTCTTAGGGGACCATCTCAAAAGTTGTCAAATTTTACTATTGGGCCCTATGGGAATTTGTTGGAAAAGCACCAATTTACCACATTTTTTTTCCATATTTTTTGTATTTCTGCCCTAGAGATTTCTTTTTCATTCAAGTACATGAAAATTATTGTAAAAAGTCACCAAATTGTCTCAAAAATTCACCATCTACTTTGGTAATTACTAAGTTTATTTTTTCAAGCCCAATACCTCTATAAAATTGCCATATTACGGTATAGCTACATATCAGTGCGGATGAATGAACAGCACATACAATTTTTTTGGTAAAAAAAATTAGCAATGTTTGAATTGCTAGTATGCTTCTTTAGATGTTCCGTCATCAGTTTTTAGTATTATATCCATGGACGTCTAGGAACACACAAGCTAGTCAGGCTTCATTCTTCAGCGTCATGCAATGCTTACAAAATCCGAAAATAGTGACGTTGGTCGAGTCATTTCAGTGTTTTTTTTCCTATTATTGTCATAAAATCACATTTTCAGACCAGTAGGGGTTACAGATAATGTTAATTTTGCATTAAAATCAAAATATTTGGCAAAGGTGTACTGTCGCACAAATGACTGCATGAAATTTAAAAGCTGCGCAAAGTCATGCGCACTCGAATTAGACTCAGCCTCGTTAAGCCTAAACTACGAACTATCACATTTTACAAGTGTTCTGATTTTTACATCAAATTAGGGGAGAGATTCGGCCATTAAACGAACTTGTCCTTTATTGTTTTGTAATTATACCAGTTTTTATCACCGTATCAACATGTTCATATTTTAATCGTTGATTTCTTTCTGCATTCATAGCAATGTACAAATCAAAATTGTGTAATTTGTTCCTAAGGATAGAGTTAAGTCTTAGCTTGATAAAGCATTTTCTATGTACAGAATGTGGCAAGGTGGATCTTGAGAAGTTGATAATGTGAACAGTTTACAGATGGATGTATAGACAAATGGAAGGATGGATATAGCAGGGTCATCAGAAAAGCTTACTGTAGATTCCTTATATTTTGCAAGTACATATTATCGTGAAAGGCCTCTTCAACGTCAAATCGTGAGAAGAATAATTTGCAAATGAACGGTTCATCAAGAGATACTACATTATTTTAGCACCATAAAAATAAAAGCGAGTAATTTCATTTCGCGAGTGGTGCTTCTCACGGAATTACGCGATACTTAATTCCACATGTATATTTAGGAATTTACAGTATTTGAGTTTTCAGTTCAGGTTGAGCTAAAATATATTGTGGAGATTGTGATAAAGGTCAATAATGAGAATTAAAGACTACCTTTGACGTGGCTTGTCCTCCCCAGCTTCATCACCATTCTGTATATACTCCTCTCGATCTTCCTCAGTTTCTCTCCTCTCCCTGTATGGTCCTCCTCCTCTTCGACCACCTCGATATCTCCTAAATCTGCCTCCCCTTCCTCGGTACCTACAAAAAGTTCAATATTAATGAATAGCCGTTTGCTGGTAAATTTCTGAGGGAATTTTCAAACATTATTTAACAAAGAAAAAGGTATGGTTTTAGCTTTATCGTGCCCGAAAAATTCAATGTTTTCAAAAAGTTTTGAAATTGGCTTTAATAAGAGTGCAACGATACACCGTTTGACGGTATACCGCGGTTTATTTTTCCACTGTTCGGTTCACAATACGTGAAACTGATATCATGGTTCAATTCAATAGGTCTGTAATTATCCGAATCGTCCGGTTTGGTTCCTCATTTACAATTTCAAAATGGCTTCCGCATGAATCATGAGGTCAATGAAACTGCAGAAACGGCAGTTAAACTTGTTTCCAGCCTCATTTTAACGGATCGAAGGATGTTATCACTTTCTTGGTGTTACTGTAATGAACATTTGATAAAACCTTTGAGTTTAAAGTGTATGATGACAAACGTCTGACTTTTTAACCCAATATGTCACGTATCGTGAACCTAATACCATGATCCCTATCGTATCGTGTCCTGGGGTAGGTGTATCGTTGCACCCCTAGGCTTTAATATTCGTCGAGTTTATGACTGTGATAAATCAGAAAAGACTAGGGCTAATTGTAACGGGGACCGTTACAGATGTTCCCCAAACGCTCCCCAACTCCCTTTTGGTGCCGTATTCCCTTTAAGCGCTATTAAGTAAGACACACTTTATGCAATTTAGACTTAAACAACGTTTTCCCAGAAGAATACAAAATGTATTTAAATTTTAGCATTGCACGCGTGCTCATCTGAATGCAGGTGCGTAATGACCACATCATCTTGTCTACACTATATATATATTTTAATATACTTAATAACAAATCAATTAATCCAGAAGTATTAGAAAATACACTCATTTAAGCGTATTTTAATATTACTCATTTCACATGCACGCACGTGCATGCACGTGCATGAGGACTACACCTTCTTGTAGGAGTCTATTATGTCTGTCTATGTTCTAAATCCCATCCTGTTTGGTTGAAAAACAAGGGAGTTATAGCCATATATTTACATTTGCAAGTGTTTTCCTTTATATAACACTACTGAAAGCAAGCGTTTTTATAACTGTGTAAATACAGGTATGGGGTCAAGAGGTCATAGATGTGCGTTTGGATAAACGTTCGACGTAATTTCTCTGTGACGTCATAAAGGGTCGACGCGTGTTTAGTGGATTACATACATGCCGTTGGGTTTGAAAAATTACCGCATTTCACGCGTTAAAAGTAACAATCAGGCAAATATAAAGTATGAATAAGACACAAATGTAAATATAAGTAATAAGGTATCATTTTTTGAGTTTTATTGAGATGTAAAACGGGTTGGCAGTACTTGGCACATGATCAAATCTTCCATAAAGCCCTTCGGGCTTTATGGGATTTGATCACGTGACCAACCCGTTTTACATCTCAATAAAACTCAAAAAATGATACCTTATTTCTTAATTACAGTTTTAGCCAATAAGATTGCAGCACACGTGCATGCGCGTGTTTTCACGACAATTGTTATATATCATATTGTAGTACATCCTAATGTATGTATATATTTTAGTTTTCATAGCATTTCGTCAAAAAACAAAAAAGATATTGAGATTTTTGTTTCAGCCAATCAGAACGATGTGCACGTGCATGTACGTGCATGATGACCATACTTTCTTGTAGGAGTCTATTATATCTGTCTATGTTCTAAATCCCATCCTGTTTGGATGAAAAATAAGGGAGTTATAGCCATTTCAAGTTTAAGCCAATCAGATTGCAGCGCACGTGCATGCGCGTGTTTTCATGTCAATTTTTATATATAGTATTGTAGAACATCCTAAAGTATGTCTATATTTTAAATTTCATATTATTTCGTCAAAAAACAGAAAAGATATCGAGATTTTTGTTTCAGCCAATCAGAGCGAAGCGCACGTGCATGCGCGTGAGTTCGTGCTAATTTGACAGTGTCATATTATCTACACTATTAATATATCTTCATATAATGAGTTTCAAATCATTTAATTAAAAAATGTAAAAGTTATAGCAATATTAAGTACATCGGTCATTTCACCCATTTCACGCGCACGCACGTGCATGCGTATGCGCGCAAAATGACTTTCGTTCCGCACACCTACACTACACACCTATTAACCCTAAAAAGGTTTTAGCTTAGTTGGGTGAACAGTTTCTGAGAACACTCGCGGACAAAAAAGTACCGGAGAACAAAGAAGAAAAAAAAGAATAATAATAATAAGAAACCGAGTAAAAACAATATGTTCCCAAACTCCGTTTGGGGAACATAAATATGGCATAAAGGACTACCATTCTGGAAATATGATGTCATTAATTTGATGCATTTCTCTATTTTAAACAAAAAAATCCTCAAAATGACTCGCTTCAAGGGTAATTTTCCTTCAGAAAACAGTGTCCACAGCCATCGCCCACTTTAGTTTTTGTATATATTGTGCAAAATTCAATGAAAAATCACATATCTCAAAATCACAGTCAATGCCTCTGGACTGTATTTTCTGAAAGAAAAATCTCATTGAAAATTGGTCTTCTGCAACTTTTTAAGAAAATAAGGTTAAATGCATATGTTTATGATGTCATAAATAGCATTTAGAAATGCATGTGCGAAAAATAATTTGAATGATTTTTCTGCATGGAATTGCAATGATTCAGAAAGCATGAAGTTTTCAATTTTTACATCAGTTTAATATTAAGAAAATCACAGGGCAAGATTTGCATTGAAACCTTACCTTGTTTTTTCTAATTTCAGTAACCATGGCAACATCGTTCATCAAAATCAAATTCAATATACAGAATTAAGTATTTAAGAGCAGTTGTGTGCAAAGTTATATTGAAATTAGACAAAAACGGTAGGAGGAGTAGCATTTTGACTGAGAGAAGGACGGACGATGGACACCTTATTATTACATATATCACATTATATCTTCTGGCCTCTTACCAATAGAGCTAAAAAGGAATAAGTGGTAAATTGGCTGAGCTGACAAACATTTACCTTGGACGTCCATAATCCGAGTCCATGCGTCTCCTGTCTTCTCTCTCTGGGATGTCATCTTCTTCACGCCCATCTTTAAGGGTCACATCCTTTCCTGCCTCCTTTTCCTTTTCCCTTAGAAATTTTAAAATAGGTACCTGTCGAACCTATTAGGAAAAAAATGTATTTACATGTCACTTCCTATTTTAAATCTTAATTTCCAAAGATTAGAGATGCACAATTTCAATGACCTTACGGCCCCCTGTATAAGGACAGACATTCATTTGAGATGCATTTCAAAAATATTTTGTAATAAAAAAAAAGATTGCACTAATTTTAGCAGTTTTTTCCCCACCCCTCAGGCCCCAGGAGGGCAGGGACCATATGATTCACATTTTTGTAATTAGATAGATACTATATGCCAAAATTGGTTCAAACTGGTTAAGCGGTTTCAGAGAAAAAGCTGAAAATGTTCAAATGTTAAAGCAAGACAACGGACAAAAACGGATAGCAAAATGCACAAAACACCAATCACTAAATTATTAAACACAATTCATCATAACTGACTTTAATATATGGATAGGGAATATTAGGGGTGTGCAACATTATCGATATATCGGTATATTGCAATATTAAACCCAACGATAATATATCGCAGTATATTTTTTCTATACTGGTATTGATGATATGCAAACGGGAAGTGTTACACAAACGCTAATTATGGTGTATCTGCAACTGTAAAGGCTTTTTTTGATAGTAATTGACATTACTACAATGTGTAAAAGTTAAAAATGGAATAAAAGGGATTTAATATTTTTTAATTTTATTATTAATATTTTTCAATTCAACAACAGTTTTATTTTTATCCAGAAAACTTACTCCAAACAAATGGTGGGTTTCGTACTTTTTTTTTATCAAAATGGTGGATGAAAAAATGTTATGTACAATCTTTTTTTGTGATGCTTAAATGTCTGAGAATGCATATCACATTTATAAAATGAAAGAAAGGTTGAGATACAAAATAATGTGACAGTTTCTCAATTTATTTTAGGAAATTCTTTTTAAGAAAGACAGAACCTGTCAATTGTTTTTTTTTTTTGCTCGAGAAAAATGTCGATCTCTGACCATGCTGACACTAATAACTAAGACAACTAATTTGCGAAGGAACTACAGTAAGGTGCAAAAAAATCCGAATTTTTCACGTGTATTTATTAGGGATGTCAACGAGTACCCGGTTAACCGGGTACTCGATCGAACGTCCAAGTATCGAATACTAAAATCGGTACTCGGTTACTCGGATGTATATTTTTGAATATTTCTTAGCTAATTTATTAATGCATCAAACAATGTTTTAACACGTAAAATACTCATTGCACTTGTACATACAGTAATTAGAGTTTCCTATACTCCTCTAAATGACCATTATCGCCCGTGGCAGTGTTTATACAGTAATTATCGTGACCAAGCACCTGCTACCTGGCCTTCTCACCTTTGGCTGTCTTCTACAATTAATTTTGATTTGCTTTAATTAATTATTTGTTTTCACTGAATATCGTTTAAGGTCTATTATGATTAAATAAATTTGATAATCTTGTTAATTCTGCGAGAAACCTTAAATTCTCGGGAAAATAGACAGATGATATTGCCCGCGCGATTGTTGATATGGTTGTGTTTGATTACCTGCCAATACAAATGGTTGAAGCCAAAGGCTTAAAAAACTGATGTCCATCATTGCACCAAACTACAAAATACCGTCCCATAATACTAGAAAATCTAGGATCGAAAAGTGTACTAAAACCGTAAATCTGCTCTGTTAGGCGAACTTGATCAAGTTCAAGTTAAACTGTACGACTGATACTTGGACGTCAAATGTAACAAAGAGTTACATTACAATATATCGAGCAGATTAATTTTTAACACAAAAACTCTGTGAACCACTTATGATTTTATTTCTTGTGTTTATCTGATAAATAAATTGAACATAAACGATGTTATATTAAATTTCATCGGGCACGAAGTGTCCATCATTGTTACAAGAGAAATACACTAACGGGTAAACCTCCTATCAGAGCATGTGGTTTTATTTCTACAAGAGTTTACAATGTTTTATATTCATCAATTTACTTATTCATATTTATTTACACTTTTACCGAGTACTCGGGTACTCAATCGGAAAAACATCCGAGTAACCGAGTATTAAAAATTGACCGATTTGACATCCCTAGTATTTATCTAAATATATAATTTTTAAACATTATTTTCATATCTGAAAATAAAAGAGCTACTTTTAGAGTTATTCCCCTTGTTTCTTTGTGATGTCAAGTGATGATGCTTTTAGCAGACGACATATCTTCAGATTACAGTGATGTCAGAAATTGACAAGAGAAAACGTCTCCTAAATTTATATGAAAGCGGAATCACTTGACGTGAATGACAGCAGAGGGGCTGTACAACTTGCTGCTTCTCATCGGCAATGGTCAGCACAGCAAATTGCCAATGAATGTGCAAGAAGAAGATCAGTTTTAGTTTCAAAATGGACTATGGGTCGGACTTCGGCTCTCAGTTATTACTTCAAATCGGTTCCTCTAAAGGTACCACTTATGACCGCAGAACATAAGCTTAAAAGAGAGGCATGGTTCATCGTTCATAAAAATGACAATTTTGACAATGTGATTTTTACAGACGAAAGTCGATTTCAGTTCTACAGATCACAGGGGCCTGTACACATACTGAATTTGAATTTACGTAATCACTATATGTATACAAAAATTGAAAGGGAAACAACGTCAGCTCGAATTTACACAGGGTCGATCTCGGAAATGACTCGTGTTTTCAATAAAATACCTTGCAGTTAGTGAAATAACATCTGGGATCATTCAGTAATAATCACTCTTTAATAAAAATACCATCGCGGTCATTTAAGAATCGTTTAAGTCGTGTTTTGCAGATCCGATATCCTGTCATGCAAGTGATGTAGTTTAAGTCGTCCACTAAATTCGCTAAACATTGCACCCAGTATTTAACGCGAGATGTGATTGGTCAATGGTGCTTTTCTAGAACAGATCTGACCAATCACGCTCCGCCTTTTACCAATCATGGTTTTTTCCAAAATGTCGTCTGTTCTGGGCTCGAGCCTCTCTGTGAACGAAAAAAGCTACCGTATTTATTCAAATCGGAGATGTTGTTCCTTTTAATTGCAATTAAAAAAAGAAAAAGACGATTTTCGTGAACGCTGGATCTTTACTTTGTGTTCTCCATCTCCGGAAAGACTTCAAAACTGGAGCAAATGTGCGATTTTTGCCTTGTTTTAGTGGACGACTTAAAGTACATCGACTCGCACAATGGGATATCAAGTTAGTATTACCCAACTTAAACGCTATAAAAAGTAACGAGGTTTCTGTTTTATTAAAGAATATTTATTGTAGTATTATTTCTAGTTATAATTTAATTGGCTACATTCTTTTTTCTATGAAATACGAAATATTTCCAAGATCGACCCTGTGTAAATTCGGGCTGACGTTGTTTCCCTTTCCTTTTTTGTATATATTTATAGTGATTACGTAAAATCAAAAACAGTATGTTACCGGCCCCTGTGCTACAGATGTACCCAAAAAAGGTGGGCAAAATTTGGATATTGTCAAAAAATGGTGCCGAAGTTCTCACCAGCTGTTACGGTATGGGGTGGAATAAGCAAGTTGGGTTTAACTCCGCTTGTTTCTGTCAGTGGAAATATTTCTGCAGTGAAGTACTGTGAAATTTTGGAGGAGGGGTTGTTGTCGTCCAATATTGTGACAAACGATCTACCTTATGTTCTACAACAGGACAACGCTAGACTGCACACCACAAGGTATACCCGGGACTGGTTTACACAGAAACACATGACCTTAATGCACTGGCCTGCTGCGTCACCGGATTTAAATCCAATAGAAAAAGTTTGGCAGATAATGAAAGATCGTGTGGAAAAAATTCAGCCAGATAATATCACAGACTGGAAATTTCCAATCATGGAAACATGGATGGGTTTGGATCAGAACTATACAGACAGTCTGGTAGAAAGTATGCAACGGCACATCGCTCAGTGTATAATGAGACACGGGGGTCTGACTGACTATTGAATTCATGCATTGTAAATTCAGTGGTTCTATATTCATTATTTTGCCTCCATTTGAAAATATTGTTGCAAAAATAAAAAAAAAATACTAAAGTTGAAATCCGGATTTTTTTTGCACTTTACTATGTAAAACAGTTTAAGTTTAATGAATAAAATATAGGATTTTCCAGTTCACTTCAAACTTTACTTGAAATTGACAGCTATGCAATATATTGCAATATCTATCGCAATATGCCATCAAATATTGCAAAATATCAAAATATAATTTTTCTGGAGATATCCACCCCTACGGAATATATCACAAATTGTAGACCAAAATCTGATTTTTAGCAGGAAAGGGACTTCATACTTATAGAGATATGAAATATATCACAAATTGTAGACCAAAATCTGATTTTTAGCAGGAAAGGGACTTCATACTTGTAGAGATATGAAATGATTTTAATGTAATTAAATATTGTTCACAGCGAGAGCAGTGAGAGTCGCAAAGCGACGCTTGCAATGCGAGCTCAATAGAATAATGTGTAAGAACAGATGAAATTCCGACTGAAATCTGTACATACGTCAGGGAAATTTTTCTGTGAAACATTCCGGGACCCAGAATTCCTTTGCTACCCAATATCCTTTGCGCGAATAAATAAATAAATAAATAAATAATAACTTATAGCATAAAAGGCTTTCAGTTTGTAGAAATCTTTTAAAAACTAGAAATATGTCCATAAGACATGAATGTCCCGCCGAGGATATATTAGTAAAGCAACATGAATATTTGTATGTGTATGAAATTTGATCAGTTTGGTTCAGGTAGGGCTTATAGTTACTAGGGAATAAAAATGTAGGTCAGATCCAGCATCCGAAGCAAGTCTGGTAGTGTCCATCCCTACTTGCATCATCCGTGAAAGTTTGGTTCAGGTAGGGCTTAATAGTTACTTGGGAATGAAAATAAAGGTCAGATCCAGCATCCGAAGCAAGTCTGGTAGTGTCCATCCCTAGCTGCATCATCCATGCAAGTTTGGTTCAGGTTGAAGGCTTATAGTTACTTGGGAATGAAAATATAGGTCAGATCCAGCATCAGAAGCAAGTCTGGTAGTGTCCATCCCTAGATGCATCATCCATGCAAGTTTGGTTCAGGTAGGGCTTATAGTTACTTGGAAATGAAAAATATAGGTCAGATCCAGCATCCGAAGCAAGTCTGGTAGTGTCCATCCCTAGATGCTTCATCCATGCAAGTTTGGTTCAGGCAGGGCTTATAGTTACTTGGGAATGAAAATATAGGTCAGATCCAGCATCCGAAGCAAGTCTGGTAGTGTCCATCCCTAGATGCCTCATCCATGCAAGTTTGGTTCAGGTAGGGCTTATAGTTACTTGGGAATGAAAATGTAGGTCAGATCCAGCATCCGAAGCAAGTCTCGTTGTGTCCATCCCTAGATGCATCATCCATGCAAGTTTGGTTCAGGTAGGGCTTATAGTTACTTGGGAATGAAAATGTAGGTCAGATCCAGCATCCGAAGCAAGTCTGGTAGTGTCCATCCCTAGATGCATCATCCATGTAAGTTTGGTCCAAATTGGGCTTATAGTTCCTTAGGAATGGACCTGCTCCAAAAACTTCAATCTGGTCACTCATCTGGAAAATATAGGTCAGATCCAGCATCCGAAGCAAGTCTGGTAGTGTTCATCCCTAGATGCATCATCCGTGCAAGATTGTATCCACATGTGAAGTTTGATAATACCATCTTGAATGGTATGTTTAAAACTGAGCTAAACACTTCAATTCAAGAAAAGTGAGGTCAAGGTCAAAGGAAAGGTCAAGGTCGAAAAATGTTGATGCAGTTGCATAGCTCTCATCAATATCTATCAGCATATGAAGTTTGATGAAAATATCTTGGATAGTTTCTTTGAAACTTAGCTTTGAACAGAGCTAAACGCAAAATGTGACGGAAGGACGGAAGACGGACATGACAAACACTATATGCCCCGGCCATATTCATGGCCATATTCATGGCGGGGCATAAAAACAAGAGGCCAACGGGCCACATCACTCACATGAGAAATGTGGTTAGGAAAAAGCATAAATCAGTTTATTATTGAAAGGTTGAAACCCAACAGTGGTCCCAAACAATCCTTAAAAGGGACAGGGTATGATCTGAAATAACTTAAATCTACACAAACTAAGGATGCTTGCATATTTCTTTGACTACCTGTGGCTTTATTGCCCTTTATATTTGAACTTACATTGTGGCCCCGCCCTACCCCTAGGGGTCATGACTTAAACAAATTGATTCTACACTACCTGAGAATGCTTCCATATGAATAGAACTAATCATGGCTTTGCTATTTTTGAAAAGAAGATTTTCAAAGATTTTTTCTACATGTTCCTATGTAAAACTTGGATTCCATGTTGTGGCCCTGCCCTACCCCCAGGGGTCATGATTTGAACAAACTTGAATGTCAACTACCTGAGAATGCTTCCATAAAAATATGATCATTCATACCTTTGCTATTCCAGAGAAGAAGATTTTAAAAGAATTTTCCTATATATTTCTATGTGAAACTTTGATAGGCCATTGTGGCCCCACCCTACCCCCAGGGGTCAAGATTTGAGCAAAATTGAAACCTGAAGATGCTTCCATAAAAATATGATCATTCATGCCTTTTCTATTCCAGAGAAGTATTTTAAAGAATTTTCCTATAGATTTCTATGAGAAAATTTGATCAGACATTGTGGCCACGCCTTACCCCCCAGGGATAAATTTCATTTATCCTGGCACAGTGGTTCTTGAGAAGAACATTTTTAAAACATACCATCAAATTTTCACTATTTCTGAATTATTTCAGCTTGAATAAGGGCATGGCCCTTCATTTGAACAAACTTGAATTCCCTTCACCTAAGGATACTTTGTGCCAAGTTTGGTTGAAATTGGCCCAGTGGTTCTTGAGAAGAAGTTGAAAATGTAAAAAGTTTACAGACAGACGGACGCAGGACAAAATGTGATAAGACTTGAGCCTTCAGCTCAGGTGAGCTAAACACAAAAAATAACTCTGCAATGTCTTTCGACCAAAAGTGCACTAGGTCTATAGTTTCAACCAGACGCTCGGCTGTCTCTGTAGACCTCGTGTGATGTCACAGCTAGTCTAGATGTCTCGTGCGGCTTGATGTTTGAAGTGGCTGATCAATTTTTCAAGTGTTTTTTGATGGTACAATGGCGCTGGCCCCAATGGTCACACCGTAAAACATATTAGTGAATGTATATCTTGGAGATGTACAATATTTTGTGATTGATGTGTAACATTGAACATTTAGTGGAATAAATTTGCAGGATGCATGTTTGTGTTTATACACTGACACAGACCATTGCATGCAGAATTAATATTGACGAATCTTTTATATCTGTGTCTTGCGGTTTATTCAATATGAACAATGACAAGAAGGAAAAGAAAAGCTACTTCTCAAAATCACAGAGGCTCTCAGCTATTACAATTTTTTTTTGAATTTCACATAATTTGCAATACCTTCTTTTGGGCATTTAACACATGAACTTGTGTTATTTTCCCCAAAAAGAAAACTCACTAGAAACACCTATACATACATATGAAGGGCCATCGGCCTAGACACACCCATATAGGCCATTGGCCTCTACCACATGGCCATGGCGTCCCAGTCTCCAGATCTACAAGCCATCGGCCATGTAACTCACCAAGGCCATCAGCCTCTCAAGTTCAAGGCCATCGGCCACTTAATTCATCAAGGGCATCGGCTACTCAAGTTCAAGGCCATCTGCCACTTAATTCACCAAGGGCATTGGCCACTAAAGTTCAAGGCCATCGGCCAAAATTCACCAAGGCCTCTCAAATTAGCCTCTCATGTTCAAGGCCATTGGCCACTTAATTCACCAAGGCCACTTACATTCGGGGTCATCGGCCAGTCACAATTTATTACAGGCCATCGGCCTCACATAGAAAGGTCATCAGCCTTCCACAGACTACCAGGCCATCGGCCTAGAAATTTTACAAGGCTATAGGCCAGTTACATATCTTCACAACAATTAACATATTTTAGGTGCAATGTGCATTTAAGTATTTTATCTTTATTTAGTTTTGTTTGATGATGTTATTTGTATGTGCGTGTTTCTTGATGTTGCAATCTGTTAACATGATTTGTCCAATAGCTGAGTAGTTCCCAAAGGCAAAGAATAAATGTAGAACTTGCAATTGACGTGTTTTGATTATATAAGGCCCCCAAAAATTAATAACTTGTTTTTCAGGCCAGTTTTCTCAAAAATAAATGCGGGAGGGAGGCATTTTTTTTTTCTTTTTATCTCATGAAAAACAGACATGGGATTTTAAACTTTTTTTTTAAAGATAAAATTTCAAAACTAGCAATTTTTAATTAATAGTGCTTCAACATCAGGTGTAGAAATCAAAATAATTTATTTCCTGCATCTCTCTCTTTTCTCTTGCATCTTCTACATCCCGGTGATTCGTGTAATGAAACGATGGCATCCTAAAAATGAGATGTGTTAAACTTACAGAACCTAACACTTTTAGTGATGCATCTGGTCAATTGCTTACGTAATGCAACAAATCTAAGTGTTTCAGCACTATAAATAGCACTTATGATTTTATTAAACATTATCAAGTTAATCAGTCTTTGCTTTACCCACACTAAATGAAATCTGCAAATCTTTCTCACGCCCGAGTTCCCAGTATGAGGGAACCATCTTTGATCGCGTTATTGATTGAGTTCTAGCATAGAACAACCTTCAGAAATCCCCACTTTGTACCGTGAAAGTACAATCCCTCATGAATTTGCACTGTAATCAATGCCATCATAACTTAACTTACTCTTGGCGCCTTATCCTGTTTACTTGACGGCCATATTTGTGATTTTAACTAGGCCAAAAGTCTGGATCATCTTGATGTTTGTCAAACGTTTTAACGAGTTCTAAAATTCAGTTGATATGCGGTCTGGAATTCCAGATTTTTTTTGCACCTTACAAGCATGTGAGAGAAACTTTATTTTATTCATTAGAGGACAGAAATGGGTAATGCTCATTGTTGAATAAAATGCGGGCGGGCCTGAGAATCAAGTTATTAATTTTTTTTAGGCCTAAAATGTACAATAAATGGTGAGATGTTAATTTTCTTCAAAGTTTAACTTTTTACAAATGATTGACAATTTTTGTGGTAATGGAACTGAAGATAATGAAACTGTTTTGTTTTTCTTAGTGTTAGTCATGCCATTTTGAATTCTTCAAACCTGTAAATGGGGTTAAATTATTTGACACCATGCACTGTTGCCTTATTTTTCTGTTTTTACTGAAAGTTCACTGGATACCAAATTTTAAGGATTCAGTCATATTGAATTTTGAGAACTTAATGCAATTTCGGGAATAATATTCAATTTTGAGTATTTTCTTCAACCACAAAGTAATGGTCACCTTTTCTGGAGTCAGCTGAGACCAGATGATGCCATTTGGTTTAGGTTTGGTGCGGTCACACCTGATGACTTGGGTTTCCGTTATGATGTAATCAACCAGTACATCATGTTCCTCCATCAGTGACTCTGGAATGTCTACAATCTGAGTGTCATGGACAGTTGTCACAATGATGGTATCAGGAGATACAGCTCCCATTGCACACATCATGGCATACTCCAAGTCAGCAAAGCCCTCACCTTTACCAATTCTGTATCCTGCAATCAAGATTTTATTTCAAATCATACAGAATTTATGACTTTTACTTTGTATTATTCTGCACAAAATATCATGAGAACAAAAGGTCAATGGGCCACAACACTCACAGCCTCTGATAATATTATCAACAAGAGGCCCAGGAGCCACATCCCTCACCTGAGCAAATAGCTAGGTAAAAGCAAAAAACAGGACAGCATTGAAAAAATTTAAATATAAAAGTTGGCTCAGGGGAAGGGGGTGTATTTAAACAAACTTAAATCTATACTTCTTACAGATGCTTTTAAATTAATGTGATACATAATGGCTTTGCTGTTTATAAGATGAAATGTTTTTTTTTATTAATATAGCCTTTAAATTCCTTTGTATAACTATGATCCAATTTATCGCAAATCTTGCTTGAAAGTATTCACTTGGACCGATATACTGATGCGTTGAGTGACGACACTGATGAATCTAACTGAAATACAATTGCGAAGTCCAACAAAGAATCTGATTTTTGCTTTTCTATAGGCCCGTCCACTTTCTCATGGAATGATAGAACAGCTATAAACAAGTGGTAGGCCTCTACTTACTGAGCGAAGTATATAGTGGACCTATGTAATACCTTATTAAATTATTGTGAGTGTGGGTAACCTGTTAGTGTAAAATGATCTTCAAATAAAATCCGTTCCAGGACTGGCAGAAGTTGACTTAAAATGATACATGTCACCCGGGGCATTTTTTTGCAATTGAAAAACAGGGCCGTTTCCCCGTTTTCTCTTCAGTACATCAATAAAATTAAACGTACTTAAATTTGGAAAATGTATTAGTGATATTAATTATTTTTATAGTGAACATATGAATAATATTCGCCATTACAGTAAAAAGTGCACTGCATAAAAAAAACCCACAAGGATTTCGATTTTTTTCTGAGGCCAAGATAAATAAATTGTGTGTTTCCGGTTCCCCGACTGACCCTAAAATATATATTTTCCGACCCTGAAAAATTTATCCGCCAATACTTTTTCCGGAAGTAAACAATTCCAGTTTCACTATTAGAAATCCTGATCTCGATCACATGCGTGTTTTAGAAAATGCATATTCTATACAAATACATTCAAAAATGTTTTGACAACGATTTTTCTGAAAAAAAAAAATGGCAGCATGCTTCCCAAGCATGCTGCTGGCAATTACAATTCGAAAATGCACACATCAAGAGGGAAAAAACGTTATGACTACGGTAAAAAACAATCAATCACTTTTTAGCATTTTTGAGATGAATCACCTTTATTTCAGAACTTTCTATCTTGTCATTGTAAAGAAAACCTATATGCCTTCTGGGCCCAAAATTGGAAAATAAAATTATCTTATCTTATCTTTTATAATTTTAAAATCCGGGTGCTACGATAAAAACATGTAGGCGGTTAAATTATGATAAAAAAAAAAACTACACTGTGTACAGAAAATAAATCCTTAAGATAGTGAAAATCAAAAACGTCAGTATCATCGCTGGTGGATAATGAAACATCAGTGTCATTGTACTTTGTACAGTACAGATTGCATTTATATTGCTTTGAACAAAATCCTGTTTATTCATGTTTATATGTTCTTCTTCGTACAGGAATTCGATATTTATTGAAAGAACTATATGCGGTATATTGCATATATTTGCCCCCATAAAAGTCAAATTTTAATAAAGTGCCGCGCCACAGCATGATACGCCCGTTAAAAAAATTACAATTTTCTTGAACAGTTTAGGTGCAAGAAAATCACATCAACCTTGATTCTAAGATTTCGATGATTTGTCATTTATCCATCCCCTGTGATGTAGGCATCAATTATAATAAATATTACATCACTGATAGATTTCTGTGCTGGTTGTGTAAGACCTTGTCAAATGCCCATCATCAAATTAGTCTTAACAACTTAATCTATACCAAATTAATTTTGAAAGAAAAGGCTGGCCATCAAATGACATATGTTATAAACTGACCAGCAGTTCTTCTGTCTAATCCCCAAAGGGCTGCTTAATCAGAGCGACTGAGACAGCTAGCCTTCCTACATTGAACTCATTAATTAATCTTTAACTGGATGCTTGTCTACTCATTACTACCAAGAGATGAATGGGTCTGCACTATAATATGTTTTTAAAAACATATAAAATACTCTCAGATTTTTTTTTTTTGGTTGAGATTTAATGTCCGACAGGTTTTAGTATGTAATTCATATGGACATGCTGATTCAACCCCACCCCAAAAAATTAGTTTTTAAATTAATAATATTACATAATATCAGATTAGTCTATTATGCAATATCAAATTAGTTTTAATTACTTTTCATCAAATTCATTTCAAAACTTAAGCTAGTCAACAAGAGCTATTTTTAATCAAACAGCCAGGCTTACCCAATTTGCCCAATTCTCAAGGGATATAGATAACGCCAATGCTCTGTCAATAGCTCCTCGCACTCAAAACCCATTAATTTCTCTCTAATTTGACATGCAATTTTCTGTTATCAAAATTCTTCTTGACCAGTGCTTGATAATTACACTCATGGGAGACATGGGATTTCTCTAACATACATTATATTTGTTTTAGATTGCTGTCAAGTATATGCTTAAAAAAAATAAGTATTTTCTTGATTTAACACTTTTTTAATAAGAACAGTGCAATACTCTTACATTATTTGGGATGTGTAAATGAATAGTAAAAAGACACATTTTTTTTTAAAAATTCACTTAAATTAAAGGTCACAGTGACCTTGAAATAGGTCGCGACACACCTTCTACCTAAGATGCATAAACTGGCCAAGTTTGATGATTGTGGGTCTTATGGTTTTCTAGTTATGGGCCGGAAAGGATTTTTCCATATTTGGCTATAACTTCTTAATTAAAGGTCAGAGCGACCTACTTTTTGTGCGCGACACACCTTCTACCCAAGATGCATCAGATGACAAAGTTTGGTAATCCTAGGCCTAGTAGTATTAAAGTTATGAGCCGGAAACGAAAAAGCTAACAGACAGACGGACAGACAGACAGAGGGACAGACGGACGGACACGAAGCCTATAACATAATACGTCCCGTCTTAAGACGGGCGTATAAAAACTTCCTGAAATGTGCTGAATTCAATAAATTGTATGAGAAATATAAATTAACAGAAAATATTATAGTTTCAAAGCTATGGAATCCAAATAGGGCCACGCACTTCACTATCGCATCATCGCACCATCGAGGTTTAGGTCGATAGTGCGATGAACAGATAATGCGATGACGATGAGGCGATGGTGCGATGAAGTGATGTTGCGATAGCGCGATGACGATGATGCTATGGCGCGACAATGCAATGACGATGGTGCGATAATGTGATGACGCGATGGTGCGATAGTGATGACACGATGACGATGGTGCGATAGTACGATGACGATGAAGCGATATTCACTATCACTCAATCGTGCTATCGCACCATCGCCATCGCATTATCGCGCCATAGCATCATCGTCATCGCGCTATCGCATCATCGTTATCGCACCACCGTTTCATCGTTATCGCGCCATCGCATTATCGCGCCATCGACCTTTAAGTTGATGCTCGATGGTGCGATAGTGAAGTGCGTGGCCCTATCCGGATTCCATACAAAGCAGTATATTCACAATTTTTGTTTTTATGACGTCACAAACTAGTTCGATTTTATATCCTTTTTCAGAAAGAGGACAAAATGGACAAAATTTCAACAATTTTAGCTTTAAAATTTATAGAGCGCAAGTTTGTTCTGGAACAATATTGACATATTTCATTGATATTATCATTCTACACATTATATCAAAATATTGATCCTGAACACACATGCCCTCGGTGACTTTTACTCAAAATATCGGCGAAATATGTACATTTTTCTGTAAAATTCATAAAAAACTGAAATTTATGTCATGTTTGTGACGTCATTACATACATATGACGTCATTACTTATGAAAATATTCAGTGCTTTGAAGTCAGCATATACTCCCCTGTTTAAGAACTTAATTAAATATATCTCCATCAAAGTTTGATTTGGGGGGCATTAATATTGGTTATTACCGAATAAAGTTCTTTATTATACCTCTATTGATAATACTCGAATTTGATTGGCTGGTAAGAAAACTTTAAAACACAACAATGACTCCAAATGGTACTGTTTACAGCAAAACTGACCTAGGAATCATTGCACGTGGGATATAATGACCCGGTCATTATTTTTAATGACCGCTAAAAATGACCGCTTAATCAAAAATTCGTTTTTGAGTGAAGTTAATGCATAAAATAATAATTATTCGAAAAAAACAACATGTTTTTAAAATTGAGCATGGTCTGTTTTGCATTACCATACAGAATACGGTAAAATTTTATCGTTACAATAGATCGTTTCACTATATCGTTACAATTCTTATTCAGTTCAATAGAATGTAGAGTGGGCTCTTTAAAGAGTTGAATTCTGTATTAGATTTTGACTGTGTAGAGGAAAAGTAATCGTTAGTTATAACAATGTATGTCGCTATCAACTAAATATTGTTTTAATCAGTAAATCATGATGCAAAAACTTACACAATTTGCAGACGTCAATGTAAACAACTTTCACTATCCGGTCTGTAGCGAATCCCGATCCCGATCAAAGAAAGAATTGATAACGGTTAGAGGTTCATACTTTTCAATATATATCGGTATAATAAAACAATTAATTACCCCTTGTAAGTTCAACATGGTGAAATAAGGACCCTCGACCTGGCCCACTCGATGACCTGCCCTGACCTCGGACGCTACGCGGCCTCGGTCAGGTCAGGTCACCTCGAGGGCCAGGTCTCGGGTCCTTATTTCACCATGTTGCCCTCACAAGGGGTAATTAATTGTATATTATTTGTGTACTTTTTGATTTCAACAAACTCTCTCTCTCTCTCTCTCCGTAGTAAGATAAATGATTATTATTTCAAAATATTTTTAATGCCCTTTTCCTTTTGATTGATTTTTTTTCACTATATATGTTGATACAGACATGGGAAAGGGCCTTACAAATGCATTTTCTTGCTTTTAAACATTATACATTTAAAATACATGCGAACACGGAATTTTTTACATGATCTGAAAAAAAAAATTGAATTTTTTGCCGATGTAAAAATTCTAGCATTTGCAAAGTCGTCAGAAGAAACCTGAAGCTTCATTCTATTTAAATTACAGGTGCATTTTGTGCAGATGTTTTCATCCAGTGACTTATTTTCCGTTATACAGGTTCCCCTTAATGTTTCTGAACTGGAAGTATGCTTTTGTGCACTTGTAACAAACAGTTTATTTTCTAAAGATATGATATTCTCCCTGAATTTTCAATTACCCATTTGAAAATGATTTGACCATCGATAGCTCGCAGACACCTGCACACCTGTGATCAAAGAGAGAAAGTGAATAGATTTGAGTCACTTGTTCAGTGCTTTGTTATTCATGACGTCAAAGGCGGGTTGAAATTTGTAAACAAGGTGCCTTTATTATAGAGACAAGTATCCGTGATTTTGCACCTTTTTGGAAAATAATATATGAGCGCAAGGCTGTTTAAATTTTTTTCATGAATGAAAATGACTAGTTTATCTCTTTACATTGACCGTATTTACAACATTAAGTTTAACTCATTAAGTTAACCTAGTGTGATTTTTTGTGTGGGTCTGATAAGAATATATCACGTTATTAATACATACAGAAAGAGGTCGATTGTCACACATGTGGATGTGTCGTGCGAGGTACAGTGATAAAGTAAATCATCAGGAAATGCGGGCTGCTTTGGAATATCATTAAAAGACTCCAACAAATTTTTGTATTTTTTTAATTTGATTATTTTAGCTGTTCTAAGTAAGCGTTTAGTAAAAAAATTACAGTAGCCCAGCTTTTCTGGCCAAGAGGATCTTGAGAAGAAGATTTTTTCTATTTATTTCTATGTAAAACTTCGTTTCCCTATTGTGTCCCCGCAAAACCCCCAGGGGGTCATGATTTGAACAATTTAGAATCTATATTATCCCATGGATGCTTCCATAAAAGTTTCAGCTTTTCTGGCCCAGTGGTTCTTGAGAAGAAGCTTTTTAAAGGTTTTTTCTATATATTTATATGTAAAACTTTGTTTCCCTATTGTGGCCCTGCACAACCCCGGGGGGTCATTATTTGAACAATATAGAATCTACACTATCCCATTATGCTTTCACATAAGTTTCAGCTTTTCTGGCCAAGTGGTTCTTGAGAAGAAGATTTTTAAAGAGACCCCACCCTATTTTTGTCTTTTCTTGATTATCTTCCTTTGTGAGAGGACCTGGCCCATCATGTTAACAATTTAAATTCTCCTTCACCCAAGAAGCTTTGTACCAAGTTTGGCTAAAATTGGCCCAGTGGTTCTTGAGAAGAAGTCTAAAATGTGAAAAGTTTACAGATGGACAGACAGCTAGACAGAAGGACGACAGACAAAATGTGATCAGAAAAGCTCACTTGATCCTTTGGCTCAGGTAAGCTAAAAATGGATTTGTTTGTCAGGACAGGGTGATGTTTTCAGATAGTATCAATGAAACTACTAGTTTGTCTGGAAGTTATGATAAATTTAATCTAGTTTGAAAGTTCAATGCAGTTTAGAGCAAAATTCAAAATGAAGTCAAAACATAATTTTCTGGCCTTATTTTCCCTTGAAATGAGACATGGTCCTTCATTTGAACAAACTTGAATCCCCTTGAGTGCTTACAATAGCGCATCTGCAAATCCTTGCCCTTACAATAGGGCATCTGCAAATCCTTGCAGGGTCCTAATTAAACATATTAGAAGCATCATCCATGCATCTCTGATCCAATTTAGGGCATAGAAGTACTTGAAAAGAAATTTACTACAAAAACTTTAACCTGGGATGCTGACACTGACTGTATTATGCAAGTTCCTCAACTTTGTTGAGGTACTGTAAGCAAAAAATGAATCAAAATTTCCTGTTTATAAACACATTTGAACATCATTTCCTTATCAAATACTTCGATGGAGCAACTTTTTGTATCAGATAAAACGAAATTCTAATATTTTCTTATCAGAATATCAGGTGAAATTATTAATAAATATATAAGAAATGGTTTAGTGCTCTGATATTATATTGGAATAGCCGAAATATTCGTTTAACCGCTATCCGATTAAGTGGAAGCCACTGTACTAAGTTTCACAAAACTCTGTTGAGCAGTTTAAGATGGGTTGGGCTGACAGGATGAAGACTGACAGATTAATTGATCAAACAACTAGTGTATAACTTGTATCTCTTGTACATCATGGTTTACATCCCCCTTTCTAACCTTCTTTGGAAACAGCTACAGATCCAATAACAACCATATCAACCTTGACCTTGGCCTCTAATCCAATAGGAACACTGTATTCCTTCAAACCCTGAAATGTAGATGTTTTTCAGTGTTTCAGTAAATGCATATTTCTTCGTAATTTACAAATAAAACAAGAGGCCCATGGGCCTTATAGGTCTTCTGAGCATTATGCAACAACTTTTCAGTGATTGAATTTGATTCATGTTTTAAGCCAGAAGCTAAAGCATTCATAATTTTGAAAGAGACATCATTGATCATCATAACTAAACACTTAGCAGTTGCTAAGTATGGTTACTTAATACCAATAGGCAGGGTAGGGGAAAAAATGCATTTCAACTTATCAGTAATATTCAGCAATAATCAGTAGTGCCCTTACCACACATGAACCCCTGACCCTTAGGTCTAGATCCACACATTGCACAATTTTTGAAAAGGCATCTTTGCTTTTCAAAAATATTTGATTAATACCAAGGAGCAGATTTCAAACAATTCATTCATTTTCAGTATATAAGTACAACCCCCCCCCCCAACCCCCCGCCCACCCCCTCTATGTTACCCCTGACCCCGGGGCCTTGAAATTCACAATTCTGGAAGATTAGGGCCCTTGCTCATAACTATATAGGTAGTTCATCTGCTTAATACCCAGGAGCAGAGAAAAATTTTTTCAAAGATTTAATGTATTTTCACTAAATAATCAATAGAGCCCCACCCTAACACCAGAACCCCTGACCCTGGGGCCATAAAATTTACAATTTTGGTAGAGGCATTCTTGCTCATCATAACTATGCACTTAGTTAGTTTATTTAATACCAAGGAGCAGAGAAGAAGATTTTCAAAGAATTCATGTATTTTTACTATATAATCAATACAGCCCCATACTAACACCAAAGCCCCTGACCCTGGGGCCATAAAATTCACAATTTTGGTAGAGGCACTCTTGCTCATCATAACTATGCACTTAGTTAGTCTATTTAATACCCTGGAGCAGAAAAGAAGATTTTCAAAGATTTAATGCATTTTCACTATATAATCAATAGAGCCCTGCCCTAACACCAGAACCCCTGATCCTGGGGCCATAAAATTCACAATTTTGGTAGAGGCGCTCTTGCTCATCATAACTATGTACTTAGTTGGTTTATTTAATGCCCAGAAGCAGAGAAGGAGATTTTCATAGAAAGAATGCATTTTCACTATATACTTATTTAGCCCCACCCTAGCACTAGAGCCCCTGACCCCAGGGCCATGAATTTCAAAATTTTGGTAGAGGACTCAATGCTGATTACAATCATGCAAACAGTTTGACTGCTTGATGTCCAGGAGTAAAGAAGAAGATTTTTAAAGATTGCATTAATTTTAGTGGTTTTGGCCCCACCCCTCAGGCCCCAAGGGGGCAGGGATCATGAAATTCACAATTCTCGTTCCCCTTCACCCATAGATGCTTTGTGCCAAATTTGGTTGAAATTGGTTCAGTGGTTGCGGAGAAGAAGATGAAAATGTTCAAATGTTAACGCACGATGCACAACGCACGGCGACGGACGAAAACGGATAGCAATAGGTCACCTGAGTTGACCTAAAAATGCTTTTTACCCCCCTAAAACATCATCAAAAGAGTTATCATGATGAAGAAAAAATCTGAAAACAAATTTTTAAAATCAAGTTCAATACTGTTGCCTTGATGGAACCAATTTATTTAGACTTACTGTAAAACGAGAAAATTTGGTGCATACGTATTTTAGCACAAGCGAAAGTTGGAATGCATTGGCGCAAATAAATTTTTAGCACTTGCACTTGTCTTTACAATATATAAATGTGAATAATATTTAGAAATCCATTAGCGCACAATAAATTTTAGTGTTCAGGGGGTCTTGCGCCAAAGGCGCTAAAATTACTAGTGCACCAAATATTCTCGTTTTACAGTATTTCAATGTAAAACTTGGAACATAATGACCAAATACAATTAAAATGATGTTGTCAAAAATGTGCATATACATACTATGTATACTAGATGAACTACCGCACAAGCGGGGGGTGGGGAGGTGGGGGAGGGGAAAAGTGATGTTTTTACTGGTAACAAAACTATCCATATTAAATAGTATCTTAAGTAGTTTCATTTTCTACTGACAGTTATATGTATAGGCTTATAGCATGACGAAATACTTTAAATCCCCCAATTTGTTTAGGAACAGATATTAGATAATTATACACTATTATACAGTATACAACCTCTATTATTTTTTTTTTTCACTTAAAAAACAAGAGGCCCATGGGCCACATCGTTCACCTGAGAATCTTTGACCATTCTGTTGTTTACCAGATTTCCCCCTTGTAATACATATTGTGGCCCCGCCCAACCCCCGGGGGTCATGATTTGAACAATTTAGAATCTACACTACCCCAGGGTGCTTCCACATAAGTTTCAGCTTTTCTGGCCCACTGGTTCTTGAGAAGAAGATTTTAAAATATTTTTTCTATATATTTCTATATAAAACTTTGATTCCCCATTGTGGCCCCGCCCTACCCCCGGGGGTCATGATTTGAACAATTTAGAATCTACACTACCCCAGGATGCTTCCACATAAGTTTCAGCTTTTCTGGTCCAATGGTTCTTGAGAAGAAGATTTTCAAAGATTTTTCCAATACATTTCTATGTAAAACGTTGATTCCCTATTGTGGCCCCGCCCTACCCCCGGGGGTCATGATTTGAACAATTTAGAATCTACACTACCCCAGGGTGCTTCCACATAAGATTCAGCTTTTCTGGCCCAGTGGTTCTTAAGAAGATTTTTAAAGATTTTTCCTATATATTTCTATGTAAAAATTTGATTCCCAATTGTGGCCCCGCCCTACCCCCCGGGGTCATGGTTTGAACAATTTAGAATCTACACTACCCCTGGATGCTTCCACATAAGTTTCAGCTCTTCTGGCCCAGTGGTTCTTGAGAAGAAGATTTTCAAAGATTTTTCCTATATATTTCTATGTAAAACTTTGATTCCCCATTGTGGCCCCGCCCAACCCCCGGGGGTCATGATTGGAACAATTTAGAATCTACACTACCCCAGGGTGCTTCCACATAAGTTTCAGCTTTATTGGCCCACTGGTTCTTGAGAAGAAGATTTTTTAATGACCCCACCCTATTTTTGTCTTTTCTTGATTATCTCCCCTTGTGAGGGAGCTTGGCCCTTCATTTCAACAATTTAAATTCCCCTTTACCCAAGGATGCTTTGTACCAAGTTTGGTCAAAATTGGCCCAGTGGTTCTTGAGAAGAAGTCGAAAATATGAAAAGTTTACAGACGGACGGACGGACAACGGACAAAATGTGATCAGAAAAGCTCACTTGAGCCTTCGGCTCAGGTGAGCTAAAAAGGGCTTTTTCTCCTTACATGTAATAGAGCAACTTTATTTTGATATCTGTTGTAATAAAATTTATACAGCCCTAATAGGTATATAATACAAAGGAATATGTGTAGATAACAACTGAAATGTATTGATCAAAGCACACATTTTTAAAAGCTTTAATTAGTTACAGTACAGGCAACGCGGATCCCGTATTAGACCGCGTCCCCTCCGTGGTATATTAATCCTTTCCGCGTTACACCGTCGCGGGTTTTGATCGCGGTGCTACCTGAGACTGTGTTTACACCGCGGCGGGGACAGCTACCATTATATATTCTTCACCTTAGATGCTCTTACCTGTAAAGTCTTGTCAATTTTTAATCGTGTCGAAAGGGGGGATGGAGGATTACGACCACATTAATTTTAAAGATATATATCATTACATGGATTCTTTAAAAAAAAAAAAAATCATTTTTAAGTTTTATCAAAAAGTTTAATAAAAAACATCTTTTTTTTTACCAATAGTCACTCAAAATTAATTAATTCTTAAACACGTCTGTTAACAGTAATATCTGTGCATGTATAGGATGAAATAAAGTAGAATAATTTATCGAATATACTTATTTTAAAAATCAATAATGCCACCTCAAATGATGTTCAAATTGTTAAAAAGGTATAATTAAAATTTAAAGAATGCCATGATATCACTTCTTTTCATATGCACTGTAATCCGGTATTTACAATTAGCCCGTGCAGTTGCAGTTACATGTAGCTATATGTTTCTTTAATATCTGCGATATTCTATCACAATCATTTGGTTTCATTTAAAAAAAAAATACCCTTACTACTGTGTACATGTCTGTTATAAATAATAGCATGAAAAAGGATGAAAGATAGTGACATATAATTACAATTAAAATTAAACAAGTGTAGGAATACTGTTGCTCCATTATTATGCGCTATACTAGCTGTAAGATTATAAAGTAAATATCGCGGATTTTTTTTTTTTTGGGGGGGGGGGGGGGGGGGGGGGCGTTAACAAGAGGCCCATGGGCCTTATAGGTCACCTGAGCATTATGCAACAACTTTCCAGTGATTGAATTTGATTCATGCTTTAATCCAGATGCTATGGCATTCACAATTTTGAAAGATGCACCATTGATCATCATAACAATACACTTAGCAGTTGCTTTAAGTTTGTTTACTTGATACCCATAGGCAGGGTAGGGGAACAAAAAATGCATTTCAAGTAATCAGTAATATTTGATCAGTAATGCCCCAATCACACATGAACCCCTGACCCTTAGGCCTAGATCCACACATTGCACAATTTTTGAAAAGGCACCTTTGCTTTTCAAAAATATTTGATTAATACCAAGGAGCATATTTCGAACAATTCATTCAGTTTCAGTATATAAGTACCCCCCCCCCCCCCTCCTTTATGGTACCCCTGACCCTGGGGCCTTGAAATTCACAATTCTGGAAGATTAGTACCCTTGCTCATCATAACTATATAGGTAGTTCATCTGCTTAATACCAAGGAGCTGAGAAGAAAACTTTCAAAGATTCAATGTATTTTCACTATATAATCAATAGAGCCCCGCCCTATCACTAGAACCCCTGACCCTAGGGCCATAAAATTCACAAATTTGGAAGAGGTTGTCTTGCTCATCATAACTTTGTAATTGGTTTATTTCATTCCTCGGAGCAGAGAAGAGGATTTTCAAAGAATT